TATGGTACAGTAGCCCGTATGGTACAGTGGCCCATATGGTACAGTGGCCCATATGGTACAGTGGCCCATATGGCACAGTGGCCCATATGGTACAGTGGTTGGTATGGTACACTTGCACCCCCGCGGCAGCTGCTCACTACACTACCAGTAGTCAGTTCTGAGGGTCATCGTCTCAAGGGCCCGGCCTCAGGCCTATTCTCGTGGTTGATGGCCTGATCAATCAGGCTGTAAGTGCTAGCAGTCCGTTGTAGGTCCCAGAGTCCGGCTAATCAGGACCTAACTTGAAAGTACTAATTAGGTTCCATCTTATAGACCGATTTTTGAACACTTCATGAATGGTGTGAGTCTTGGTCCCTTTACACTTACTAAGTTGCACCATTATTTTTTTTTTTACTCGGGTGTTTAATACAGTTTTCAAGTCTCTTCCTCTCACTGGAGTCATTTCAGAGTGTAGGTTTGTAAGAAATTCCTGTACAATATTCCAGGTATTAATTACGATGTAATTTTGTTCTCTGGTGAACACAGTTCAAGGGACTTCAAGTGTTCCCAATAATTTAGGTATTTCAATATATACAACAGTGAATGTTCTCTGTACATTCTCCAGATCATAGGTATTTATAAGCATTATTATTATTATTATTATTATTATTATTATTATTATTATTATTATTATTATTATTATTATTATTATTATTATTATTATTATTATTATTAATATATTGATATCTCATATAGTATCTATTATATATATTATATATTAATTATTATTTTATTATTATTATATATTATTTTTATATTATTAATACAGCTATTTACACGAGGGAGTGACCCAAAAAAGGAGAAATATTTTCACTGTCCCTCATTCAGGCACTGTTTTGTGAGTGAATGACATCACAGTTGAGAGTGACGTCAGAACTGCAGCATCCCCACCATTGTTTAGAGTGCAGCCACTATACTCCCCACCATTGTTTAGAGTGCAGCCACTATACTTCCCACCATTGTTTAGAGTGCAGCCACTATACTCCCCACCATTGTTTAGAGTGCAGCCACTATACTCCCCACCATTGTTTAGAGTGCAGCCACTATACTCCCCACCATTGTTTAGAGTGCAGCCACTATACTCCCCACCATGTTAGAGTGCAGCCACTATACTCCCCACCATTGTTTAGAGTGCAGCCACTATACTTCCCACCTTTGTTTAGAGTGCAGCCACTATACTTCCCACCTTCACAATTCAATACAGTTAACTGGTTTTCCAGTATCCCTTCATAAATGTTATCTTGCTGACACTCCAACAGCAAGTCAGGTTATTAAAACCACTTGCCTCCCCTCACTCTCTAACATGCTCACAGAAGCCTGCTGGATGATCAAGCCCCTAGCAATCTAAACCTCTTTTACCCCCTCCCTCCAACCTTTCCTGGGACGACCCCTATCCCTTCATCCACCCGAGATTTACACACCCTCCCAATTTGTTCCACCCTCTCTAAATGTCCACACCACCTCAACAACCACTCCTTACTCCTCTGAATAATACTTTTAGTAACCCAACACCTTATTCTAATCTAACTCTGAATACTCTGCATAATATTCACACCACAAAACGACATTTTTTACCTCTAGCCCCCCCATGCATCAATTTTTAAACTCTTTCAAAAATAAATATTTGGTACCAATACCGGTACACCCCTATTTTTTTCCTCCTATAATTCTTTTTACAATGAACACCACTCCCCTAGTTTAATATTTTGTGGCATTCCCCTTAAAATGGGAAAGTTTTTAAAATTTTATGAAAAATTTATATTTTAATTATATTAAATTTTTTTGAGATTTTTTTAAATTTATATTTTTTTTGTGTTTATTTTATTTTTTTTTAAAAAAATCTAATTAAAGTAAAAATTTTTAAATTTCTAAAAAGGAAAGGGAGAAGATAAAAATGTTTTGTATAGTCTGCTTTTTTTTTTTCATTAACCCCCCCCCAATAAGAAGGGTTTTAATTTTTTTTTGAACCAATCTAAAAATATCTAAACAACCATAGGCTTAAATTACGGGAAAAAAATTTTCCATTCTTAAACAACCAAGCCCGACCCTTCAAAAACCATATAAAACTTTTCACTGCTTTAAAAACCTACCATCTATTCCATACATTTGCAACATCTGCTACAGATCCCCTATCCACCCTATTCGTCTTTTCAAAATCTCATTGCAACAAAAAGACCCCTAATTTTATGTAAGAATGTTTTTTTTTAATTTTTCATTATAAATATTGGTATAACCCCCCAAACCTTTTCCTAAACTTTGTTACTCCAAACCCTATTTTTCTTCCCTTTTATTCTTACAAATAAAATACAAAATCCCTTTTACTTGTAACTCAAAAAGTTTATTCCCTTTAAAAAATTTCTTACCCCTTTCTTTTTTTTTATTTTTCTCTTATACAAAAGAACATTCATTTTCTCTGCCAACCTAGTCCTTCCCCCTTTCATGCATATACTGAACAAATATACCAACCCTCCAAGACTATTCCCCCCTTTTTTGATCTCACAACCCCAAATACTTTTATTCTTTCATTCTATCCACTGCCTCGCGTTCCTTCCCACACTCACATCTTTCCCCACCCTGGTCACACGAAAGCACCTTTTCCCTTTCTTTTATTACATTACACAAACCCCCAAAAAATTTCCCTCCGTCACCAGCTCCCATCTTCCCCCTAGCACATCCAATTTTTGTTTTTTGCTTATAAGTCCACTTTTTCCCAGGTTTTCTTAACTTTCACATCTCACTTCATTTTTTTTTTCATGTTTTAAGCAAAATTTATTGGTAAAACCCACCCCTCTTCGCTGGGGGTTATTTTACCTCCGTCAGTACTCCTTTAGGCTCGCTTTTTCTCTCCAATATACCCTCTCCCTAAATCACTTTTTTCACTATAAAAAACCATCGTAGGTTTAAATTTTTTTTCCTTTACCCCCTCTCTTTACCTCACTTCCACCAAAACTTCTTTTTTCCCCCCAGCACCCACCCCCTATACCCCCAAAAAATATTTTTTGTACACACTAACACACATTTTTAAATCTGCCCTACTTTTTCAACCCCGTCCTCATTACCTTACTTCTCAGCCACCTTTCTCTTTAGTACTTTTTCTAATACTTACCCATCTCCTTGAATTTATTGACTTTCGCTTCTATCTATGCGACCACTTTTTTTTTATTCTTTTTCCCCCCAAAAACCACCCAAGGGGGTCTACCGTCCTGCCAAGTGAGAGTGAAACGGAAACCGTTAATTTTTTTACACAGTGGTTTACACGTGGGTTTACACAGTGGTTTTACCCATGGTGTTTACACTGTGGTTTTACACGTGGTGTTTTCACATGGTTTTACACAGCTTTTCTTTCGGGACGAATAGGGAAATTATTTTAAATTTGCAAACCCCATATAAAATTAAGTCCCCTCTAAAATTTTCTTTATACTTTAAATAAATATATATATATATATAAAATTTATATATATATTATATATATATATATAAAATTTAATATAAATATATATATATAAAAATATATAATAATATTATATATATTTTATATATTATATATATTATATATATAATATATATTTTATTTTAAAATTTAAAATATATACATATTATTATATATATATATATACATATTATATTTATATATTTTATATATATATATATATTTTATATATATATATATATAATATATTTTTATATTTATATATATTATAATATATATATATATATTTTATTATTATATATATTATTATTATATTATAATTATAATATTTTATATATTATTAAAAGTTTAGTTGAAGATTTACATTATGTGTGTCGAGAGAAAACGTTGAGTGGTTTGAGGCATTTATGTGTATGAAGATGTGTATGCTAAGTGCACTTGATGTTCGTGACGTTTCGCAAGTTCTGAATGTTGAGTTATATGTTTGAGTGGTGTGTGTGCGTGTGTGTGTGTCGGTTGTGTTGTGTGTGTGTTGTGTGGTGTGTTGTGTGTGTTGTGTGTTTTGGTGTGTATGGTGTATGTTTGTGTTGTTGGTGTGTGGTATTTTACTCACCTAGTTGTTCAAATGTTGTGGTTTGCAAGGGTCGAGTACAGTCCTGGCCCGCTCGCCCAGGGTTTGGGCTACTATGGTCACTTCCCTGCTCAGGAGCTTATATACTTTTCTTAAGCCATGTAAGATCCTGCCTCCACTACATCACTCCAGACATTCACTCCTGACTACTCTGTGACTGAAGAAATACTCCTAACATCCCTGTGATCATCTATCTCAATTCCAATTTTGACCCCTGTCCGCGGTACCATCTGGAACACTCTGTCTCTCACTTGTCGATTCCTCTCAGTATTTATATGAAAGTTATCATATCCCCCTATCTCTCCTGTCCCAGTGTGTCAGGTCGATTTCCTTAACTCTCTCGTAGGCATACCCTTAGCTTGGGATAGTCTTTTTGCAAACCTTTGCACTTTCTTAGCTTCCTTACGTGCTTGGCTAGGTGTGGGTTTCAAACTGGTGCCGCATACTCCAACATAGGCCTAACGTACACGGTGTACAGTGTGTACTCACCTAATTGTGGTTGCAGGGGTCGAGACACTGATCGAGACAACTGTGTGTGTGTGTGTTGGTGTAAGTGTGAGTGTACTGGTGCACGTTTCAGTGTATTACTGTGTATTTGAATGTGATGGTGTATGTTTGTGAGAGTATTCACATATTTCACCTGTTTGTGGTTGCAGGGGTAGAGTCTTAGCTCCTGGCTCCACCTCTTCGCTGGTCACTACTAGATCCACTCTGTCTCTGCTCAAAGAGCCTTATCGTACCTCTTCTTAAAGCTATATATGAATCCTACCTCCAATACTTCATTCTTTGTGTGTGTGTCAACAAACACCATGGCTTTATTAACTCCTAACTAACACTGACCGACGAGACTGGATGGAATACTTCACGGCCGTCTAAGACATGCTTCACATCCCTGTGTTTTGTGTTAATTTTTGAGTGGCACTTTGTGGAGCCGTAGCGTGCGATGCTTGTAAGAATGTGTGGATGTGTGGGTGTAGCAGGTGCCTGAATGTGTGGGTATAGCAGGTGCCTGAATGTGTGGGTATAGCAGGTGCCTGAATGTGTGGATGTGTGGGTGTAGCAAGTGCCTGAATGTGTGGGTGTAGCAGGTGCCTGAATGTGTGGGTATAGCAGGTGCCTGAATGTGTGGGTATAGCAGGTGCCTGGATGTGTGGGTGTAGCAGGTGCCTGAATGTGTGGGTGTAGCAGGTGCCTGAATGTGTGGATGTGTGGGTGTAGCAGGTGCCTGAATGTGTGGATGTGTGGGTGTAGCAGGTGCCTGAATGTGTGGACGTGTGGGTGTAGCAGGTGCCTGAATGTCGCAGTGTGTGTGAGGGGAACATACAGCAGCAGCAGGCGTGGTAGTGTTTAGCGTCTGTGTGTTGTTATGGCAACACGTGCGCAGCTCATAGGGAGTGTGAGAGGTGCGCACCTACACCCCCACACCTGCTGCAAGCTGGGTCGTTCCCTCCTGCTGGGTCGTCACAAGGAGTCCAGATCCTGCCTAGCTATGAGGTCTTGTGAAAGTGCGTGTGACTCTGCTGGTAGGGAGCAGCAGCAGCAGTAGCTGCTGTAGGCTGTGAGGGGGTGAAGGCTGCTGCTCCAGGTATTACCATCACTTGCACGGCTTCTGACAACAGTTCCTTCGATCGCATGGGTGCGCCGCCCCCTTAAGCCATAGTGGCAGTGCTTGTGAACGCGCGCAGCTGGTGACAGTGAACGCGAAGACAGTGAACGCGGAGGATGGCCGCACCCGGCTTACCTTACAGGTAGGTGGGATCAACCTCCCTCCCTCCCACGTCAACATACCTAAGACAAGTCACGGACAACAGCGTTGAGGGGGTAAACTAGATGTGTGTACCTGTGTGTGGCTCCACCCATAACCTCTCCATGACTCGCCAGTCACAACATATGACCCCTACGTTGACCCTGCTGTGACCAGCCGTGGCCTGTAGTCACTTCTGATACCCTAGCGTGCTGGTGACCCAACTGGTACCACATCTTTCAAGCAGGAGACCCGTTTGTGACCCCGTGTGACCAAGCTCAACCAGAGGTGACCCGTAGTCATTTCTGCTGACCTAATGTGACTGGTGATTCGTGGAAATACCCGATAACTGTTGTCTAATCTATAGCTGGTCCCAGACATGTGACGACAATGATGACTATGGTGACCTCAAGATGACTACGGTGACGTCAAGTTGACTACGGTGACGTCATGTTGAATACGGTGACGTCTTGCGACTAAAACCTGACCCAGTCTGTCACCTCCTGAAAGTTATCGTGAGCGAATCATTTAGGACAGTGATATGACGAGGACAGTGACGTGACGAGGACAGTGACGTGACGAGGACAGTGACGTGACGAGGACAGTGACGTGACGAAGACAGTGACGTGACGAGGACAGTGACGAGACACTGAAGTTACAGCTACCAGAACACAGTACACTCTCTGACACTGACAGTGTTGGTTTATCATGGACAGTGGTGGTTTATCATGGACAGTGGTGGTTTATCAAAGACAGTGTTTATCAAGGACAGCATTTGCTTATCAAGGACAGTGTTAGTTTATCAAGGAAAGTGGTGGTTTATCAAGGATAATGTTGGTACATGAAGGAAAGTCGTGGTTTATCAAGTTCAGTGGTTGGTATACCAAGGACAGTGATGGTTTGTCAAGGACGGTGATGTATCAAGGACAGTGTTGGTTCATCAAGGACAGTGTTGATTTGTGAAGGACAGTGCTGGTTTGTCAAAGACAGTGATGGTTTGTCAAGGACAGTGGTGGATTACAAAGGACAGTATTGGTTTATTAAGGACAGTGTTAGTTTGTCAAAGACAGTGTTGATTTGTCAAGGACAGTGGTGGTTTGTCAAGGACAGTGGTGGATTACAAAGGACAGTTTTGATTTATTAAGGACAGTGTTGGTTTGTCAAAGACTAGTGTTGATTTGTCAAGGACAGTGGTGGTTTATCAAGGACAGTTGTGATTTATCAAAGACAAGGGCGTTGAACACGGACAGTGTTGATTTGACAATGACAGCGGTCGTAGGTTTAACAAGGACAGTGGTAGTTTATAAGGGCAATGATTAACAGGGACAGTGGTTGTCAATCAAGGACAGTGGGGGTTTAACAGAGTGATGGTTTAACTGTTAGTTTAACAAGGACAACGGTGTTAGGTTATCACGAACAGTAGTTTACAAGAACATTTGGTCTAACAAGTACATTTTTGATCTGACAAGGACAATGGTTGTTTGACAAGGACAGTGGCTGTATAACAAGGACAGTGGTTGTTTGACGAGGATAATGGTTGCTTAACAAGGACAATGGTTGTTTAGCAAGGACAGTGGTTGTTTAACAAGGACAGTGGTTGTTTAACAAGGACAGTGGCTGTTTAACAAGGACAGTGGCTGTATAACAAGGACAGTGGTTGTTTAACAAGCACAGTGGCTGTATAACAAGGACAGAGGTTGTTTAACAAGGTCAGTGATTGTTTAACAAGGACAGTGGTTGTCTAACAAGGACAGTGGATGTTTAACAAGGACAGTGGTTGTTTAACAAGAACAGTGGTTGTTTAACAAGACAAGTGATTGTTTAACAAGGACAGTGGATGTTTAAGGACAGTGGATATATAACAAGGACAGTGGTTGTTTAACAAGGACAGTGGTTGTTGAACAAGGACAGTGGCTGTATAACAAGGACAGAGGTTGTTTAACAAGGACAGTGGATGTTTAAGAAGGACAGAGGTTGTTTAACAAGGACAGTGGTTGTTGAACAAGGACAGTGGCTGTATAACAAGGACAGAGGTTGTTTAACAAGGACAGTGGATGTTTAAGAAGTACAGTGGTTGTTTAACAAGGACAGTGGTTGTTGAACAAGGACAGTGGCTATATAACAAGGACAGAGGTTGTTTAACAAGGACAGTGGATGTTTAAGAAGGACAGAGGTTGTTTAACAAGGACAGTGGATGTTTAAGAAGGACAGAGGTTGTTTAACAAGGACAGTGGCTGTATAACAAGGACAGAGGTTGTTTAACAAGGACAGTGGATGTTTAAGAGGACAGAGGTTGTTTTAACAAGGACAGTGGATGTTTTAAAAAGGACAGAGGTTGTTTAACAAGGACAGTGGCTGTATAACAAGGACAGAGGTTGTTTAACAAGGACAGTGGATGTTTAAGAAGGACAGAGGTTGTTTAACAAGGACAGTGGATGTTTAAGAAGGACAGAGGTTGTTTAACAAGGACAGTGGATGTTTAAGAAGGACAGAGGTTGTTTAACAAGGACAGTGGATGTTTAAGAAGGACAGAGGTTGTTTAACAAGGACAGTGGCTGTATAACAAGGACAGAGGTTGTTTAACAAGGACAGTGGATGTTTAAGAAGGACAGAGGTTGTTTAACAAGGACAGTGGCTGTATAACAAGGACAGAGGTTGTTTAACAAGGACAGTGGATGTTTAAGAAGGACAGAGGTTGTTTAACAAGGACAGTGGTTGTTGAACAAGGACAGAGGTTGTTTAACAAGGACAGTGGATGTTTAAGAAGGACAGAGGTTGTTTAACAAGGACAGTGGATGTTTAAGAAGGACAGAGGTTGTTTAACAAGGACAGTGGGTTTTTGAACAAGGACAGAGGTTGTTTAACAAGGATTGTGATGGTGCTAGTGATGTTGCTGGTGTTAAGGTGCTGGTATTATAGTGATAGTGATGGTGCTGGTGGTATGGTGCAAGCGATGGTGCTGGCGGTGTTATGGTGTTAGTGGTGGTACTGGTGGTGTTATGGTGCTAATAATGGTTCTGCTGGTGTTACGGTGCTGCTGGTGTTACCGTGCTGCTGCTGTGATGGTGCTAGTAATGGTCCTGCTTGTGTTAGTGATGGTACTGGTGGTGTTATGGTGCTGCTGGTGTGAGGGTGCTGCTGCTGTGATGGTGCTAGTAATGGTCCTGCTGGTGTTAGTGATGGTACTGGTGGTGTTGTGATGCTAATAATGGTCCTGCTGGTGTTATGGTGCTGCTGGTAAGATGGTGCTAATACTGGTGCTGGTGGTGTGATGGTGCTGCTGGTGTTATAGTGCTGCTATTGTGATAGTGTTGTTGGTGTGATGTTGCTGCTGGTGTGATAGTGCTGCTGGTGTTATAGTGCTGCTGGTGTGAGAGTGCTCCGGGTGTGATGGTGCTGCTGGTGTTATAGTGCTGCTGGTGTGATGCTGCTGGTGTGAGGGTGCTCCGGGTGTGATGGTGCTGCTGGTGTTATAGTGCTGCTGGTGTGAGAGTGCTCCGGGTGTGATGGTGCTGCTGGTGTGATGGTGCTGCTGGTGTTATAGTGCTGCTGGTGTGATGGTGCTGCTGGTGTGATGGCGCTGCTTGTGTGACGGTGCTGCTGGTGTGATGGTGCTGCTGGTGTGATAGTGCTGCTGGTGTGATGTTGTTGCTGGTGTGATGGAGCTGCTGGTGTTATAGTGCCGCTGGTGTGATGGTGCTAGTAATGGTGCTGCGAGTGTAATGGTGCTGCTGGTGTGATGGTGCTGCTGGTGTGATAGTGCTGCTGGTATGATGGTGCTGCTGGTGTGATGGAGCTGCTGGTGTTATAGTGCCGCTGGTGTGATGGTGCTAGTAATGGTGCTGCGAGTGTAATGGTGCTGCTGGTGTTATGGTGCTGCTTGTGTGATGGTGCTGCTGGTGTGATGGTGCTGCTGGTGTGATGGCGCTGATGGTGTGATGGTGCTGCTGGTGTGAATGTGCTGCTGGTGTGATGGTGCTGCTGGTGTGATGGCGCTGATGGTGTGATGGTGCTGCTGGTGTGAATGTGCTGCTGGTGTGATGGTGCTGCTGGTGTGATGGTGCTGCTGGTGTGATGGTGTTGCTGGTGTGATGGTGCTGCGAGTGTAATGGTGCTGCTGGTGTTATGGTGCTGCTTGTGTGATGGTGCTGCTGGTGTGATGGTGCTGCTGGTGTGATGGCGCTGATGGTGTGCTGGTGTTGCTGGTGTAATGGCGCTGATGGTGTGATGGTGCTGCTGGTGTGAATGTGCTGCTGGTGTGATGGTGCTGCTGGTGTGATGGCGCTGCTGGTGTGATGGTGCTGCTGGTGTGATGGTGCTGCTGGTGTGATGGTGCTGGTGTGAATGTGCTGCTGGTGTGATGGTGCTGCTGGTGTGATGGTGCTGCTGGTGTGATGGTGCTGCTGGTGTGATGCTGCTGGTGTGATGGTGCTGCTGGTGTGATGTTGCTGCTGGAGTGATGGTGCTGCTGGTGTTATAGTGCTGCTGGTGTGATGCTGCTGGTGTGAGGGTGCTCCGGGTGTGATGGTGCTGCTGGTGTGATGATGTTGCTGGTGTGATGGTGCTGCTGGTGTGATGGTGCTAGTAATGGTGCTGCGAGTGTAATGGTGCTGCTGGTGTTATGGTGCTGCTTGTGTGATGGTGCTGCTGGTGTGATGGTGCTGCTGGTGTGATGGTGTTGCTGGTGTGATGGCGCTGATGGTGTGATATTGTTGCTGGTGTGGTGGTGCTGCTGGTGTGATGGTGCTGCTGGTGTGATGGTGCTGCTGGTGTGATGGTGCTGCTGGTGTGATGGTGCTGCTGGTGTGATGGTGTTGCTGGTGTGATGGTGCTGGTGGTGTGATGGTGCTGCTGGTGTGATGGTGTTGCTGGGGTGGTGGTGCTGCTGGTGTGATGGTGCTGGTGGTGTGATGGTGCTGCTGGTGTGATAGAGCTGCTGGTGTTATGGTGCTGCTATTGTTATGGTGCTGCTGGTGTTATGGTGCTGCTGGTGTGATGTTGCTG